ATACTTTTGAGCTTTTTCCAAGTGTAAAACTCAAGTCATTTTCATGTCATTAATCAAGGACACACCAATCTAACTGTAACCCCCAACCCTAACCCCCTAATTCAGTAAATGAAACTCAGTTAATCAAAGTCCAAAATCCTTTTCAGACTTTTTAGCCCAACCTCACAAAAGCCCAAACATAGCCAAGGACAGAATCACATTGTCTGTTTGTGGTTGACCATTTGAAACCCACGCGCTCAATTTGGCAAGTGGGGCCAAATTCCAGTGCTTCTTTTTGGCATCCTTTAACCTCGCACTTTGGAAACGACTGCTGGCTGTCCTGCCACTCCCTCCCCCCTGCCTTTTTTCTGTTCGACCAGGACCTAGAAGGGGGAGGAGACTCACTTTTGAGAGAGAGAGAACCCAAAAACCAAAGTGTTTTTTGACATTGGTTTCTTGTTTTTGCTGATTAATACTTGGATTAGATGCCCTTCTCCACTGTCCTCATCTTTCTCCCATTCTAAGTTACTTAAAGAAAAGAGCCCAACTTGATAAGGCTTCCTCTTTTTTTTAATGCTATAAAACTTTTGGTAAGTTTCAAAGACTCAAACTTTGCCAATTTCTTTTCTTTTTTGATATTATTTCGTGGAGTGTGAAAAAAAGATTTTGGAAGATATTAGTCCAAAGAAGGAAAACGAAACTTGTGGTGTATATGGTGTTCTTTTTCTAGTGAAAAGGAAAGGTATTGTTTTGAGCATTGTTTTTAGGCTGAAATATGAGTTGGGTTTGAGTTTTTTTTTTGGCTGTTTTGAGGTTTGGAGTATGGTTCTTGAGTGCAGCTATATAATCCGTGGAATGTTAGAAAGCCAAGGAAAGAGTTGGTTTTTGGAGCATAACCATTTGAAGATGTCTTGGGTTCATCATCATCAAATCAGGCAAAAAGATGGTTACTTTCAATATCCACCACCTCTTCCTCCATCTCCATATACTGCTGTTACTACTTTTCATAAAGATTCAAACCCTTCACCATCGTCAACATCATCATCTTCTGGTACTAGAATTAGTCCTGCAGTTCTGTTCATTATAGTAATCTTGGCTGTACTATTTTTCATCTCTGGTCTTCTACATCTGCTTGTTAGATTCCTTATAAAGCATCCGTCTTCATCTACATCTTCTCAGTCTAATAGATACCCTGAAATGTCTACCTCTGATGCTCTCCAAAGGCAGCTACAACAACTGTTTCATCTCCATGATTCTGGTTTAGATCAAGCTTTTATTGATGCTTTACCTGTTTTCCAGTACAGAGAAATAGTTGGTCTTAAAGAGCCTTTTGATTGTGCTGTTTGTTTATGTGAGTTCTCTGAGAAAGATAAGCTGAGATTGCTTCCTCTGTGTAGCCATGCTTTTCATATAAATTGTATTGACACTTGGCTGTTATCAAACTCAACATGCCCTCTTTGCAGAGGTACTCTTTTTACTCCTGGGTTTTCAATGGAAAATCCAATTTATGATTTCGATGACATAAGGGAAGATGAGGGGTGTGCTGGCAATGGGGAAAATGGATATACCCCCGGTCAGAAAACAGTGGAAATGGAAGAAATTGTTGTTGACAAGGGGGTTTTGCCCGTGAGGCTAGGTAAATTCAGAAGGCTAAATGATGGACCTGGGGAGGCAGGAGGAGAAACAAGTAGCAGCAATTTAGATGCAAGAAGGTGTTTTTCTATGGGTTCATATCAGTATGTGCTAGGTGACTCAGATCTTAGGGTTGCTCTGTCTAATGATCAAAGCAGTGGCCGTGATATAAAGCTATCAAAAGGGTTGGAACAGAATGGGAATTCTTCAGTAGAAAGGGATGCAGAGGCGAAAAAGATTAGTAATGTGGCCAAAGGGGAGAGCTTTTCTGTTTCCAAGATCTGGCTTTGGTCTAAGAAAGGCAAATTTTCAAGTTATTCAGATGCCCAAATCGGCATGCCTTCTTCTCTTAATACAGGCTTGCCATGGTTGGAGAAAACACAAGAAAAATGATAGGTAATTTCTTTGGCGGTTTCTGGTTGAGCTATTTATTCAATTGATCAAAGCTTGTTATGCTTTTGCTCAGCTCCTGCTTTGAAAATTTTTTTGAGATGCTAATTCAAAATTGTAATGGTTGGTTGTGATATATTTTTGTTCTGAAACCTCAAAGTAAAATTACTCACAAAGGCATTTGCTGGTTGTAACCTGAACTGAATGAGAGAATAGAATTCATGTAGGTAAGACTATGCTGTTGACTCTTCTTCTAATTCTAGCTGTGTTGCTGAACTCATGATGATGTCTTATTTCTGCAAAAGAAGAGATACGTATATTTTTTATCAAATAAAGAAGATATTCATACACTATGTTCCATGCTACTGCACATCTCAGCAATCTTATCTCATTTGAAGGGTTTGCACTGCCTATGTAGTATCATATATAGTGCATGACAAGAAATGTTGCTGCTCAGAGCAATTTGACTATTGTGTTAGTGTTTAGCTAGAACTCCATTGTCATCATGTTTAATTGTTACTTAACTTTGACATTGCGAACAGAATGATTTTATTCGCATCATGACAGTTTTGTTGTCAATCCACAGGTCAATTTGTTATGCAGAAGGTTATGGTCTAGTAAAGTTTGAATGATTAAGGTTGAAATGGTACTGGTTTTACATTGTTCACCTTAGGGGTGTGCTAGTTCAAAGTCAAACATGGAGTACTAATTTGAGTAGTTTCAAGCAAGGATGATGTCTCACAACTTAGGGAAATCATAATACTCTTTCAAGATGCAACTTTTTCCATGCAATTCTACTGTTAATTTGTTGCCCAAGATAGGCAATTCATGCTAGCCCAGTTCCATACTTTCCCCTATTGATGTTGAGCCTATAAAAAATCTCTCTCCCCAACAAAGTATAGTGATGTTTATATATGTCTAAACATGATCTAAGGCAGGAGCCTAGTGCTTTTGCTTTTCTTGGCTTTTGATGAGCCGGGGTTTTTCCCCCTGCCCTTTCCCTTTTACTTTTTAATATATCAACCCTTTTAGGATAATGTGCACTCAATCTGTTGTGTAGAGTGATTGTTGGCTTTGAGAGTGGGCAGTTGTGCAATGATGGTGGGATCCATGAAAGCTGTGTGACAGAAAATTTTTTTCAATCTTGTGATGAGTCCTTTAATTCAAAAATCTTGGCTGTAGCAGCTAAAACTGTGGGGTCATCTTTTGCTCTTCGCATGTGGCCTTGTTGAAATCAAAACCCTTTGCATTAAATCTAAATCCATTCTTATTTAAAAACCAAGGCTATCTACTGCATTATTTAACAGTCAAAATGCAGCAAGTTTGAGGAGAGCTGTTTACACTTGGATAAAATAAGAGTCAAAAGTGAGTAGAAAGAGGAAAAATAGAAGGAGAAGGGAAGAAACAAACAAATACTGATATCAAGCCATCGAGGGATGTCAAGTGTTGTCATTGTGGACCTAGATAGATTCTATGATCCAAACAAATTTATTATCATCTCCTTTTAAACATCTATTATGTTTATTTATATAAGAAGGTCTTAGGGTATTTCTTGTTTACAATATATATATTTTTAGAAGTATGCAGATGGTGGGTGGTGGTTCTGATGAACTGTAGTATATTGCAAAGGGATACCTATGTGAAAATGATCTTCAGCCCCACTTGAGAGGAAGTGTCCAACAATGACTGTTCAGAAATGATAATGTCATCTCTGGGATCCAAATATAAAAACAGAGCACACGGTCACCAACCAATGACAATTGCTTAAAGTACTTCCAAGGTGGGCTCCATAATCCTGCCTGTTAGAATCCTGTGAAGCTGTGAACTGCTCAGCGTTAACCACCTCAGAAGTCAGAATCATATCATATGACAACAATGAGGTACTTTTGTCTCTTTCATGTACCTCAGGGCCTGGTATGGAAAGGGATAAGCCTAGCCCACTGGGTAAAACCAAAATGTAAACTTTGGCCCAGCCCCCTCTTTTACCATCGCTGTTTGTCCAGTGAAAAGGTTTGCTCAGCCCTACTAGTAATAAACAGATTAGATTATTCAGCACAATAATGGTATTTGCCAACATGATCTAGTTCAGAAGTTAATCGTATCATATTGTCTGCAATCAGAAAAGGGTTGAGAATGTGCTAAAAACCTTGTGGCAAACAGAATGCATGAGAGTTAGTGATTTGACAACTACCCCTGCAAGATTCTACAGGGACAGCATTAAAAATAGAGCAGGAAATGTGGAATGTAGACAGGACTTTGGCATTGAGATGAGAGAATGATAAAAAGGGGGACTAATTTCCAGTAATGGTGGATCACAATCGAGTGATTTGTAAACTCATAAGCACTCCTTTCCTGTTAAAAACTGTTCTTCTGCACAATAACAGCCAGGACTAGGAGCCCATAAGCCAATGCTGTTATATTTTTTTTGGCAAGCTTTTGTCACTACTGAAAGAGGAGGAAGAACCCCAGTGGGATTGGGATTCTAGTACTAAAAAAGGAAAATGAAATTAGCTACAGGAAACTTGTGATTCAATGGCATCAACTCATTTAAAAGAGGCTTTTTTTTTGCCCTCTTTATTTACTATTAAAAAGATTGCACCTCGTTTTAAGGAATGGTGATATCCAAAATGGTAGCCCATGAAAGTGACTTTCTAGGAGTCACCATGATCTTCATGCATAATCTTATCAAATACAAAAAAAAAAATGAGCCCAATTAGTGCAAGAGGCAAAGTCATTTCAAGAATGACATTTACTTTTCTCAAGTTGCAAGGCCCTGAATGACCTTTAACTATGTTAGAAGGACCGCTAATTGACAAACCTGGAAAACAAAGTAGGACTCTACAAACCATGCACCACTCATCTCAACATCAATAATCAATAACATACAATCAAATGTCATATGCCAACATCAACAAGCACAAACTTTCACCCAATAGTGATCCAAAACCATAGTTTCAATTCACTTGGAAAATATGAAATTGAAATATAAAATAAAAGACACAAAAATCAAGGTTTTCCATAGATGTGGTACGTAGATGCCACTATATCAAACATTGCTGACTTAATTTCTCCCAAACTCCTAAATTATATCTAAAGCAAAATGAATTGCTACTTTCTCACCTTGGCAGTCTTTCAACTCTTTGATACTCTTAGGTAAAAATGGGACATGAACATTTGTATTAATTCTTTGATTATTTTACATTTCCCAGTACAAAAAGAACCCTTTTTTGACATTTACAAGTTCTCTTCGTCCTTCACTCATCTAGCAATATCAGGGAAAATATTATTCTCTTATTATCCTCAACAAAAAAAACAATTAATATTTTGCTTTACAAAAAAAAGATTAACCTTAACGTAAGCCTCGACCACGCCGCCAACTTTCTGGTGCGAGTGACTGTCACGTGAACTGAAAAACCGTAGCTCAAGCGAATGACGTGTACAGTCAGATGAGAAAGGGCCCGTCTTTGCCTAAATCCATGGAGGATTTCGTGGAGACAGGCAACGAGGCGTACCTGGAAGAGAAGTTTCTGTTCATAAAATCCTCATCGAAATGACCGTTTTGCCCCGGTCCTTCGTCGAAATTGAGGGAGTAACTCATGGGATCGTAATGGAATTTCGTTCCTCCGTTACCGGTTTTGTTCTTGTTGAACCGTCGTATAAACGTCTTCCATTTCGGTCCAGCTACCAGCTCCGACCATTCTCGAACCTTCTTCCACCCTCGGGTCCACCACGGCACGTAGTGACTTGTATTCGCGGAGGCGGCGGAGTTGGTATCGTCGGTCGAAATTCGCTCCCACCAGATTGATCTAACAGCAGAGCGACAAGGCATCCAAAAACAGCAGCCTCCATTGGAGAACTTGAGGTCATGGACGTCGTCTTCGACGACGACCGTCTCCTCCTCCATCGTAGGCAGTTGCGACATTCCTTTTGGAAAATGGAAACGCGCCCAGGAAATTCCCGTTACGATTAGATAGAACGAGATAGGGAGAGAAAGTGATTGAATTCTCTCTCACTTTCTCTCGCTTTCTCGAGAAAGAGAAAGAAATTAAGAATTTTCTCTCAGGAGAGACAGAGAGAGAGCCATTTCTTCTCTTTCTAATAAAAGATTTTTTTTTAATTTTTATTTATTTCTAACGGAAACGGCGGGAATTTAGGAGGTTGTAACAGCTAAACCAACTAACAATAACAGCCCTCGAAGCCGTAGATGGAGTTATTACTTTGTTTTATATTTAACGTTAAAAATAAATAACAGAGAATTTGATTCCCATATTTCTTAAAATTTAATTATTATTTTTATTAAATTATATTTAAAATTTTAATTTTAAAAATACATAAAATCTTTTGTATTAGTAATAAAAAATGGTAAGTTTGTGGGCTCTGTTGAAGCCCACGCCTTTATTGAACTTCGGCCTACGGGGTTTAGACTTAATAAATCACAATGAGAATTGCTACTTAATCAAAATTTCACAAAATTACCATATCCAATGATAATTAATATTCATACATTCAATCATATATATATATATATATATATATTAATTTTTTGATAATTTCACTATACCAACATTTACACTATGACTCATGACATTGAATTTAAGTTTATGTATATACAATTACTCAAACAAGCCGAGAGCAATAGTTGCTATTGGTTTAACATGGTTTGAAAGCACTGAAAACTCAGCATCCACGTGATCCTACATTGAAAAATTACCGTAGATTGGTCAATAGGCAAACAGCAAACATTTGAAAATGAAGTGACGTGGCCCAATTTTTATTCTTCTCTGCTATCTTCTCAACTTGGACTCTGCAACCATTCCACATTCACACAGGTTCAACTTCCACAGATGAATTTTCCTTTCCTGCTTCCTTGGTCAAAGCAAGCTTATCATGATTCCCTTTATAAATCACACTCATGCAAGATGACCACTCATCGTTTACAACAAGCAAAACAAGTTTTATCAATTACTCTTTGCTTTCCTCCAAAGATATGGCCATGAAACTCATCAAAACCCTCGGTTTCTTGCTCCTACTCACTTTCCTCACCTTCATGTTGCTAGCTTCCACCCCGGAAGCTCGCCGGTTCGCTCCCAATCGTCTCCGCAGTGCTGTTATGAAGGCTGACCCAAGCCAGTGGCGGAATGGGGGACCTCAACTTGATGAAGTTTTTCGAGTTCTGGATCTTTTGGGAATGAAGGATTCCTCCGGACCGAGCAATGGCGGCGAAGGGCATTGATATATACAGTCTATGGTGCAAACAAAACGTTGTTGTTAGTGTTAAGTTTCAACATAAATTCAAGGTGTTGTGATGTGTAATGGTTGAAAATAAATTCCTTGCCTTGGTCATTGCATAAGGGTCATATATAGAAGAAATATCATCAAATCCTTGTAAACATACAGAAGAATATATAAATTTTCTATTTACTCTTATATATTTATTTTCTTTCATCAACCAAGACAGCAAAAGAATATACTGCATGCTGACTAACAATGGCCATCTAAGTTTTGTTAATTACAAAGAAAAGGGTAATATGTTTTTCTAAGATTTAGCCTTTTTGTTAATGGCAAAGATCACATAATTTAACTTTTTTTAGATAAAATAAATTTTTTTAATTTAAAACAAAGATTCGAATCGTATTCTACGCACTAACCAATAAACTAAATGTTGAGATACCCTTATATCAAGCATCTTATTTATCAAGTCTTTAGAGTTGCTAGGCTTAGGGTTTGTGCTTTACGGTGTTAATTTCCATTTCTTCATTGTACAAAAAGCAAATTATATATATGTTTGAAACTTTGAAACCAACTGTGCCATGGCATGATTCATGGCACCTTTCATGTATCATGCTTCATAAAATAGGTATATATATATATTAGATTAAAAGAAAATTGTTACAAATTTGAATTCATCAAATTCCGTATTGCATATTGTTATTAAGTTGTTGGTTTTTCAAGTCAAATAATTTACATATTTAACACCATGTGCCCCTAATTTTTTAGGTCAGACGGTATATGACCGTAAAATTAACAAGTTGAAAACACTTTAAGCTTAGTCTCCCTTCAAGGTTGGACTTGGATTGGAATGAACCAGGCCGGGCGGCGTCTAGATCTGCAAAAGCTAGAGCACCTCACGATTTCATATCCCACACTTCAATCAGTAACGGAGTACCTTATATCATACACACATCTATCTTAAAATACTGGTAATTGTCGAGAAATATTTAACCTACCCTTGCGAAGGACAGGTAAAATCTATTGCTAGGATTAAGTAAGCACCTCTTTATAAGCGAGCTTCGTGGACTGTTTAAACATTTGGACGTTAAGTCTAGTTACAACACAATCCATAAAATAAATGAAATAATCTACCTAATTATATTGGTCAATTGGTAAACTTAAACAGTTTAGACTAGAACTATGTTTTCAAATTCAATGAACTGTGTCTAATCTAATTCTCGGAAGTTGACCCTCCAAAAATTCCAGCTCGGAAAACATGAACAACTTCCTCGAATGAATTTCCCTTCCTGCTTCCTTAACATGAGCACATTTCTCATACGTCTTTGAACTTACCAACATTTTCCCACTATTGCTTGTCGAACAAAGCTCACCATCGTCTCCTATATAAACCATGCAAACTGGCCACCTACTCATCCTCATGAGCAGAGAACGCAATAAGCTTACGTTGTTTAACCTCCATTCATGGCCATGAAACTCAAATTATCCCTCCCTTTCATTCTCCTCATTGCTTTCTTGAGCTTCATGTTACTGGTTTCAACTCCAGAAGCCCGTAGGCTTTCACCAGAACATCTCCATGGCGGCATTGTGAAACCCGGCGGCCCTATCCGACAAGGGCAGGGACTTCAACTTGATGATGTGGTTGAAGCTCTTGATCTGCTGGGAATCAAGAATACCTCCGGACCAAGTGATCGAGGAGAGGGGAATTGATAGATAGTGCAATGGTGCACCCACAGCCTTATAGTTAATAGTATTAGGAATGGCAATGTTTAATGGTTGAAAATAAACTCCTTGGGATTTAATCAACCTTATATCAAAATCCATGTGAAATAAATAAAAATAATTATTGTATGTATTACAAGCTTAATTTTGTCAATTTCGGACTATTGGATTTTATTGGTATATATATTTCTCTCTCGATAGATGTGGTTTCTTGATGTGAATCATGAGTGAAAATTACTTGATGTATTTTGTTATTAAATAAATATTTATTTATTTATTTTTGTATGAAAAATCTTACTCTCATCGATCCAAAAAATGAGAAAGAAATATAAATGTGAAAACATTAAGATTATTAAAAAAAGTCATGTTGAATACCTGATAAACACAAAAGTATGTTTGGTTTTTTTCATTTGAAATTAACTTATTATAATTAATGTTATTACTTTATTCAGAAGATTAAGAGAATATTTTTCATATTTTCTATCAAACTTGGGAGAGCAAAGGGTAGTTTACTCTAATTAAAAGCATCATTCATGACCAAATATTGTGGAATTCATATATAGCAAAGGGTGATGACTAGCTTTTCCTTGTTCAGGAGCATAGCAACTTCCAATGGGACTTCTCTTTCTCTATTGTAGAAGTTTGACCCAAAAGCATCAGCTCTTAACAATCCTTCCCACCCTATCATGGAAAATGCAACCAAAAGACTTATAAAGACTAGAATTCAACAGTGTTAATTAGTTAAAGAGGATTGAAGATGTTGACTCTCAAACTTTGTTCACCTGTCAAAGTTTCTCCAAGCCACCTACTTTACTAAGGAATTTTAAAATTATATATTTAATTTGAATAAGCAATAACCAAATGTCTCATACCATTGGTATATGTTACCCTCACCCAAAATAGAAACTAGCAGCATTTTTTTCCTTTTTCTTTAAAAAAAAAATCTGCCGACCATAGAAAGGTTAATCCAGGCGGATGAGTGCTTCTCTAGGAGATTGTGCAGCCAGTGAATAGTGATAATAATATTTACATCAACAAGTCAAAGAAATGGATAAGATACATTAGCTTGGTGCATTGGTAATTGAGACCCATCTGCCTGCAACAACACCTAGGCAGGCTGCATATTCTTTCTTGCAAAATTTATTAGGGAGTTTCTTTTAATAAAATTTTCTAGAGAAGCCATTAGCTTGAGGTCTGAGCGGCTCCCTATTGTTGGAGAGAATTCGTGTCATTTAGTTCAGTCTAGCCCTTCATACCACCACTAGCAGTGATCTAATTTTGCCCTTCAAAATTGGTGTAGCATCCAGATTGATTACACGCTGTCCAAAGTGCTAAACCAGTGACTTGATTCTCTTCATTTGGGGTCAACTACAATACATATATTACATCCTATTATGGGGAACAAACTTGGAAACTAACATATCTCCTAAGAAAGGAAAATCAAATGGAAAACTGTAAACTTACATCATCATCAGTCCTACATCCCCATGTTCATAGCATACATAGGGACTTGAAAGATCTTTGTTTGCTGTCATTTGATTAATAAACTCTGGCAGATGATCAATAGCCATGGGAGTAACCCATGTAATTCAAACGGGGTCGAAGGTTGTGGTGATTATAGATAGGATCCCCATAGTCCACAGCCTTTATCACCACAGCTTCACGCCTTCCACCCTGTTCTTGAACTGCCCCAAAAACGATCTCATTTGTCTCACAGCTCTTCTCATAATAAGTTTGTGGGTTGGATGAATAATGCTTATGTGGGTGCTGCTGCTGCTGTTGATGGTGCTGCATCTGCATTTGCTGCTGTTGCTGATAGTTAGCATCCCACCCATTATAGTGAGGCCGGCTTTGCTTGATATGGTGTTTTCTCTCAAGGTCCTTGGTCATAAATGGGTAACTTCTCTTGGGCGTTGGAGTCCTAGTATCTAAGGAAGGTGGCTCATCTTCATCAGGAATCACAAAGCTCTCTTGCATAGGCCATCCTCTGGATTGTATGGTTGATTGCTGGTACTGATGTTGATACTGATAGTGGCGAGGCTTCCTTCTAAAGCCCGAAAATAAGCCCCCAAAGATTTCAGCCACAGATGAGCCAGTATTGAGGACGAGCCTACCAATTGAACCAAAGAAGCCTTCTGCTTTTTCAGGTTCATCGTCGGGTGGAATTAAGGGAGGCCTGACTGATTTAGGAGGCCTCTGATATGGTGCCATAGTTGCTCCACTCTTTATTGGAGTTCTTGAGTCCTAAGAAGATTGGAACTTGCTTGGTCATTTCATGTAGAATTCAGAGAGTTGGAACTTTATGATAATATGTATGTGTCAGAACAATTTTCTAACATTCACATGCAACAATGAAATTACTCCATCCAGAGAAAATCAGAAAATCAAGTACAGTGAATAGTATTACATTCCCCATTCAATGCATAAGGAAAGAAGTGGGAAAACAATGAAAGTAGGATATATAATGGTTATGAATGCACTCACCAAATTTATGAGAAAGGAGAGAAGAAAGAATCCAGACATTTAAACTCTTATAATAAGTTACAAGCAAAGAAAATAAATATAAAGTTTAAAATCTCTGACCTTCCATCCATTTGCTTTGCAATTAGCAAACTTGAAAGCATTACATAAGGTATTATCTAAAATATTTTGAAGATTAATGGATGGGAAACTCTCTGATAATATAAGCAATAAATTAATGACTAGAAACAGAAGAAAAACATAGAACATTATGTCACTTACGTCACGGGAAGAGAACATTGCTTGTACTCTACGCTGCAGCAAGGCCAGCATGTAACCAAAGAAGCCAGCTGCAGCAAGCACTGCTATACCTACAATGATGGACCCATATCTTAAAGATTGTCACGGTCTTGAAAGAAAATGGCATCAACAATTTACAGTTCAAAAGAATTGTACCTAAATGAAAACTGCCATCATATTGATGGGAACAATCATCATCATTGAGTTGAATCTCACGAATTGCCTGGTTTCCTCTATCTATAACCAAAAGAGAGCAGCTACTTCCTACATAAACCACATCAAAATCATTTGAAAATTTTGCATCTTCACTTGGACCATCGACATGACCTCCTCCTCGGCTCCATTTTCCTCCACCAGCAATAGTTGTAACCCCTGCATAAAGAAATAAAATAAATTCAGCTCAGAGGTTGTGTTAGAATGGCTAATGATTTTCAAAGAACTTAAAACCTACAAAATTTTTAGCAAGGTAGCTGTGTAAGAATGGAGGATTTGGCGGACAATTTTCTTGCACTTATCTAACCACAACAGCTGTAAGACTAATTAAAATGAGAGTCCATTCTTTAATCATGAGAAATTCCTTGAACGTTGCCCAAATCACCTGATTCACTGATCTTCCTTATGGCCATATTCATTGTGTCTGCAATGTATACATTTCCGCTGTCATCCACTGTAAGACCTTTTGGATGATTCATTCTAGCTTCTCTTGGTTTCCCATCTACATGCCCAGAGTACCCTTCAGATGATCCAGCAACCAACTTAGGTCTGCTATCTGCAGATATTCATCCATGTCAGCAAATGAAAGAATGATAGGTTTTGGAGAATATTCAAATGAGCACCAAGAAAATGAACAGATGAGGTAGAAGAAAATCAAATAAGGAAAGAGAATCCTGGCATTTCTGTTTCTAAGAAAACAACGTAAAGTCTCATCAGTCCTCCAACTTTTCTAACTTTGAAATGATTCCAAAAATTAGAACAGCAAAGTGAACTTGGACTAGTCACCATTCAAAGTAACCAAGGTGATTAAACTTCATGAAGAAGCTCAAAGGTGTCCACACCTTAGTCAAATATTGAGTATTCAAAAAGTGAAAGTACTTACGCATAAGGCTTAGATCAGAAGATAAAGGACAAAATAAGTAAATTTTAAGTCTAAGTATTCAATAGAGAATGTCGACTTTGAAATAAAAAAGAAAAAGACTGCATAATCTTCAAAAAGATGTAACTGGTAGGCAGCAAACAGCACTAAATGGTGTTCTGTCCTTTTAAAAGTAGTGTCTTCTCCTAAACAAAAGCACATCGAACTTATCGACAACGTTGTGTAAGTAATGTGTTAAGAATCTATCAACAACTTAAACAGAAAGAAAAAAAAATGCTCCAAGTACCTCCTAGACAAAATTAATGAAAAGAGCCAAGCTTTCAAGTTTCAACCAAAAAACTTGAAATGTTCGGGTAGGCAATCAGCATTGTTAATAAACCCAAATCTTCCTCTCAAAAAAGGAAAAAAGAACACAAATCTTGAACCCCAGAAAAGTGCTACTGCAAAATTAACTTACATCTAGACAATGGCATTGAGATCTTGTAAATGTTACTATTTTCAGAATCCAACACCAAGATAGCTCCACTTGGGGAAACTTCAACAGCAAATGGCTCAATCCCAAGCTTGCTTCCATCAAAAACTGTTTCCACAGTGTATCCACCTTCAAATTTCATCATGGAACGGCTAGAAATAGCTGAGAAAACAAATCCCATCAGCCCAAAAAACCAGTCTTTAGACTCCACACAAAGAGGCAGGAAGACCAAAAATCAGAGGAAAATAGGAAACAGATTGAACAATGAAGCAAAGTTACCAGTTTTGGGTGCTGATTTTAGTGACCATAGCCATTTAACAAGAGCAGACACCACATTTGAGACAACTGAAGTTACAATTTCTGCAAAAAATCAAAATGAAAAGCAAAATTCAAACAAAAAAATATAACAAATACAGAGAAAAATAAAAACAAAAAGTAAAATGGTGAGAGCTTTTTTTAGACTTACTTGCAGGTGGGGTGGCAGAAACTGAAGAAAACCCATTAAAGAGAACCAAAAAAATGAGAGTAATAACTACCCATTTCCTCACCATTGCTTAAGTTTCTTACTCTAACATGGAAAACATAGAAGATGAAAAACAGTTCAAGCATGAAAGATTAGAGCTCTGTTAAAAAAATATTGTTGCTTTGCATATATATAGTTCCTTAAGAAGAAGACCCCACAAAAATATTGTTTGGCTTTGCCAACTTTTTTTGCTTTTACATTTTAATCAGTAGAAGCCTTTTTGAAAGAGAAAAAGAGAGGGTAGATACTATGAAGGGTTTAAATACCACTGTGTAGGGGAGCTCTGTTCAAGAAAAGGAAGTAAAGGCAAAAGAAAGAGAGGAAAGCCTTAAGTCTCTTAGACCATAGTGAATGCCAGTTAAAGCAGGAATCATATTCCCTGGTTTTGTCTTAAATTTTTTTGTTTTAATTGCTCTCAAATCATTTAATGACAAATTTGATCTTGGCAGCCATTGATTTTTTTTTTATTTTTTGCCCTTTTGCAGGCAAATGGGGCACTCTTGTTTGTAAACAAAAAGTGAATGAAATCATAGATGTGTTCAACAATTCTTTTTAACAAGTAGTAGACAGGTTGCTTGTATCAAATATTCCCTGTCTCAAATCAAATTTGTCTTTCATTACTTTTAAGTATATTTTGATTTACACTTTTTTTTAATAATTCAGACAAAAAACTTTATTAATCATAAGGAACATTGATACAATGAGACATACTTTTACTAAACATAAACAGCTTAACTCTAACCCTTATCAATTTCAATGTCATGTAAAAAGAACCTCATTAAAAAGCCTTTTCATGATAAAATTCAATGGGAAAAAACTCATGAAAAAGAAAAAGAATGCCCTTGCGTACATGTCTATTACATTAATCAAGGGATCTTGTAACCCTTCCATCACAACCAAGCTATTAGCTACAGCTCAAGTAAATCTTGCAAAACAATATTTGCTATATTGTTTGGCATATCCGCTACATTTGTCCAAAAGACTTCACCACTCATCAATGTCTTTGCATGTTGAGCTACTTTTAATATAACAAAAAAAAATTCAATTCTAGACAAGGGAAGTACTAAATTTTATGACTTCAATCTTTCTAAAGCTAGCATTACTCTAATTATGGTTCATGTGGCCATTTTGTTAAAGGAGCCCCTTGTTCAATTTGATTCTGCGGGATAAAGAAAGGGAAACTTGACTATTTCTTTACAAACTTCCAGGTGAGAATGCCTTTATAATCTCCTTAATAGCAAACTTTATTTAATTAAAGAAAAGAAACAAGCCTCCCTGTTTGTCTCTAATTTAATGCTTTACTTGTGATGTACAACTTCCAACTGATCTTTCCTTCCGTTTCTACTCTCCACCTTGTGGTAGCTGCCATGTGCTTTGGGTGGATAGGAACTTATCTGCCAATATGGAATCAAATTCAGTAACTATCTTTCTTTCTCTCTCTTTTTATTGGAGAATGTTTGCTTTCATGTTTCTTAGAATTCTTTTCTTTGGAAAGAGGATTTCTTTAGCTTCTCTTTTTTTCTTCATGGGGCTGAATTAGTGGTGTTTTTGATGAGATGCCCATGGCAATGATTTAACTTTAATTAATGCTTTTACTGGGTTTTGTTTGAAGCTTATATACAATGATTTTGCCCTTGAAAGTCTAGTCTGATAGTGAAAACTAATCATTGTAATCACATATTGAGAATCCCATTTTTCTTCATCTTTAGATTTGTTCAAGTTGCTGATGATTATAAATGAGGAAAAATCAGATAATTTTATGAAAAACAGTGTCAGCTTTGTCCATCACATTGTAACTTAGCATGAATTGCAGGCCTTTATTGTTGCATGGTTTTGATCAAAGGAGAAATTCCACTCATCTCTATAATATATGAATCATAGGCCTTGATCCCCAATTTAAGTGAGAGCTGATGCATTATTCAAGGTTCGTCCCCTAACTTATGCTAATATAAAAGGGAAATAAAGAGTAAGTACCCCATAGTTTAGGTTATCATCCCTGACACTGGGAAACTTTGCATGGATATCTTTTTCTAGGTTTAAATGTTATTGGACATTGTGCGATTGCATAGGAAGTTAGTACCATGAAATGTTTCAACATCGTACATTTCATGGTCACGTTGTCGATGCCAAAGACAGTGATGGTTCCACTTCCTTGACCTTAGCTTCTAATTTTTGTCTTTAATCTTGTAATCTCTCCTAACCTTAAAGTGATGTTGAGATGTTTCATCAGTCAACGAATCGTGTCAATTTGTAACCTTGTGCTGGAAACTGCTTACAATTGAACTCAAAACAGTACTTCCAAGTGATATAGCATCTCAAAAAGCTGTGTTCTATCATATACACGACGACTGGCAGAAAAGACAAATGATTGAATATAATACCTGTGCTGTGTACTCAAATTTATACCTGGTACACCATTCCCACCTCAAGTGTAGATGCATGAGGAATGCTTAAGGCATAGCTTGGTCCCCTAGAGTTTCTCCTCAAGAAATCATACCCAAAATTTATCACAATTTTCTTCATCAGACTTGACCCTTTCTTTGCCCTCACGTATGAGTGCCCAAGTATAAAAGCCATTCCTGCCTCCCTTGCTTCCATCAGTTCCTGCAATTCCTCCTTTGCATCCCTGTCTATCCGTGGGCTTTCCGGGACAACAAACCTCACCCTCTTCCTAGGCCTCTCTGGGGACTTTGCCTCCCTTAGCTCTGAAACGCATACTATTTCAGAAGAATCCTCACCATCTTCACACATTCTAATGTCCCCTACCATTTCAGAAGAATCTTTGCCATCTTCGCACATTCTTACACCTTCTAAATTTGATGATGAAGTCCCAATAACTGTCATTTTCTCATCATTTTCCAAGTCATCTATCCCAATAATACATTTCGGCCTCTCTGACCGAATAAATTCTGCAATGCTACAAATAAGGTCTTTCTCAAATTCCAAATCATCTTTGTGAATGTCTCGATATCCATACCGTGCTATACATCGATAGAGCCTATATTCCTTTGGACCAACTCTTCCTACTAGGAACCTTTCCATGGGACTGACATGTGGTACTGGAACTGACTTGATGCAAAGGAACACTACAACTTGGTGGAAAGCAGGGAGGTTGGTGACAAAGTGAGAAAAAATAGCTGGGATTCCTGAAACAAGCTCCGTATGTATAAGGCCAATGCCTCGAACCCGAACAATGCCTAGAGTAGGACCTAGAGCGAGGAGCCAATTGATAGAGACCTTATTCTGGACATCAAACTCGTACTTCTTGAGTGTGCCATAGTGCCAAACATACATTATGAGTAAAAATATAAAAGCAAGGGCAATAGGAACCCAAGCCCCTTCAAGGAACTTGATAAGAGATGCTGAGAAGTAGAGTGCCTCTATGGAGCCAAAGAAGAATATAAACAAAAGAGCTAGGTAGACACTTTTGTGCCAGCATATGACAATGACCAGGGGCATCAGGCATGTGGTCACCAGCATAACTGTTATAACTGCCAAACCTGTTAGAGAAAAGAAGAAGGTGCTGTAAGAATGACCATGATTACAAACTCTCAGAAGAAAATGTTAATTCAATTAAGTGAAATTGGAACTTGAACATCACTATCAGAAATAATTTAAAAGCAAACACAATTTGGAGGATTTCACTCCCATGTCACAGCAGTTATCATATCAGAATATGAAGTTAATTTGAACAACCCCGCTGTTCTGTTTTATTGTACTAACAGTGAAACATCTTCATTTCAAAGACATGTTAAGTAGTTGGAGAGAATGCAGATTTAAGCAGTAGAGATTGTCATTTCTGAATCATGCGTATCATACAACCAGATTTCCCATCTCTCCCACCTTGAACCCCTAAGTAAACAAATAAATAAATAGCATCGAAAGGAGAAGACGAAACCTGCTGCATTTCCCATGCGTTTTGTGTCTCTAAAACCAACAGTCACGGCCAAGCACAACAGCAATAAAGTCCAATTGATTTCTGGAATGTAAATCTGGCCGTGGATTTTGGATGAAGTATGTATAATTTTGACCCTTGGGAAGCAACCCAAAGCAGAACACTGTTTGATAATTGAAAATGTTCCAGTGATGATCGCTTGACTTCCTACAACTGCTGCAAGTATGGCTATAACTAGAACAGGCCATCTTATTTTCTCTGAAACAACAATGACTCTTAGACTTAGCTAATCAATATTATCAAGATCGAAGTGAATCTGTGTCATCTATGAAGAACATACCAGGTACAGACACATAGAATCCAATCCGGTAGTCAGTTTCATTAATATGATGCACAGAAAGATAAGCAGCTTGGCCCATATATGCAAGGATTAAGGATGGATAAACCACAAAGGTGAAAGCAATCTGCAGGAAAGTTACCTTTAGTTAGGGAAATGACAATGTCACCATTTCACTCATAAAATACTGAATGTAGGCAATTTTTCATGAATTACATATGAACATAATTGAGTCAAAATAAGTCAGGAAACATGAACATATTTGTTTAAATTGTGCATGATGTGCAAGTCTAATAAGGCATTGATATATCCAAATATTCTTCTTGTGAAGCAAACATGACCTTCCTGTCTAATTAATAACCAGCTACTGTGATAGCAATTTAAAGGAGCTTGTCCCGTCTGAAAATGAGCCAATTTTTAATTAGTTTTCACTGCTTCTTGGCCTCCCTTTCTATTTTCCTCATCTGCATATTTTGGGCATTGTAAGCACCCTACAGACATTTGAACACAACCCCAAATCAACTTGACTAAGAGAGTCCCTTACAAATAGCCTCTGGGTGTAGAGCCATAATTCTTTGGGCTATATTTTTCCCTTTCCGGCCTGATCCTGGTAGGTCAGTATCGAGACATGTAACTGCGTTCAGATTGGGTTACATGCTAACCCAAAGGAAGAAGCCTAGGATAGGGGAGGGTTTTTTTTTAGTTCTTTGATATCATTCATCCTCTACCTAACGGTTGTCCATCGACAATGCAATTATGCAGCTACACATGAATAAAATAAATTGTTGAATAAGTAGTAATGTAAGTGGAAAATCGATAATAAGCAACAAATTACCTTGATAGACAACTGTGAAAAGTGTCCAAGATCAGCAAACATAGCTTCTGAGCCTGAACCAATTAGAAAAGGAACATTAGACAAAGAAAAAGAAGATGGCTGTCAAAAGTTAGACAGTACAGTTGATACACTCATGTACCTGTTATACAAAGCAGGATCCCACCCAGTGACATCCAACCCCCCTTTTGGGTCTTCTTCAAAAACTTATACATGTAATAGGGAGAGAGTGCTTGATAGACATGGGGATTCCACTGGACAATATTATACACCCCAATTGCACTGATGCATAAAAGCCATGTTATCACAACAGGTGCAAACAAGAATCCTACCCGGTGGGTCCCATAATGTTGGAGGGCGAACAAGAATATGAGTATGGCACAAGCAGCTGGGACTTCAACATCTGCAGAATTAATAAACTCTGAGGAAACACAATATTAAGCACATAAGCAGTGTTTTTAGTTTGAGCTCTTGAACTAATTCATACTATGCTTGCATTGACCAAAACCTTTTATTAACCTATAACTTGTCAAATTGCAAAAGTTTGAGATTTGCTGAATCCGTTGTGAACAGTTAGCTAGTTTTGTTTCTGAATTAAACCAGCAGGAAATTTGCATTATGCTTTAGGATTTCTCTTATCATTTCCGGAGGCAAAGATTTACAGCATCAGTACTAGAAACAGGCAGACAGTAAACCATATATGATGAAAGTTGAAATGATTAAACAGTTAAAAAATCTTATGTATGTACTCTTACAGGTAAGTAGGATTTACCAATTATTTGATTTTGACTAGTTCTTGGAGTTCAAAAGATTTCCTTATGTGAAACATTGCTATCGATTTCTTTCAAACTAAGTTGTAAAATATTGTTAATGAAATCTCAAATCCACTTGTTTAGGATATTTTATTAAACCATGAGTCCATGACAGAATGCTCGATGGAGTAATTGTCACCCACAAACAGAAATGATAGCGAATCATGGATGCCGGAACACAGATGACAAAGGAATCAAACATGACAAAAGGAATATATGAACAATGCAATTACAGTGAGAAATTGGGAAATCAAAATGTAATATATATCTTCAAAAAATGATCCAAAAGGATGAAGGAGATGATTTGACCACATCAATGGTGGAAGTCAATCTTGAAATAGTAGTAAGAGCTTCAGGCTTGGTTGAAGCCATAGGCATGATCGATGATGCATCTCTCATTGAGGACATTTAGTCATGGTCTTATTTCAGGTTGTCTAGTCTAAAAAACAGAAAGTCCTGCCAAATAATGTAAACAATGAGATAACATGCTGATTAATGTAGCAGACTCTCCCCTATAATTTAGTTTATTCTGACCCTTATCCTTCCACAAAGACTACCTTTTTCTCGCCATATAACGACAGCTTCAACTATGAAAGTTGACACCTTGCATAATCTTTCCGATATATGAATTTAAACTTCTTTTCTTGGCCACATGTTCCACCTTTACTTTATTATATACAGAAAGTCATCAACTTGACCCTCCACATTACGTATCAAAGCATAATTTATTTGGACTGATGGCGATTTGAGTTTGATTAAAGCAAAGAAGCTGTCTTAGGCCCTTAATTACATTTGGGGGGGACCCACAGTAATGCAGACGCTTATCACAATTTGATAAACTCTGGTTGTCCTTCTGCAGATGAAATAGTGAACAATTTTCAGCCACTTTTGAGCTCTGATATGTAGCATCATAATCACCATTTGGCTGCCTAATCATGATAGGCCTCTTACTTGGTTATGACAATAACAGTACGCAGATGCCGTAGGAAACTGTCTATAGATGCCTAAAGCAACAAAGAAGGGAGACCAGGCAAAGAGAACCTGGTTGTACTTAGTGCTTACCAACTAGTAGAAATCATTCAAAACACTAATGAACTATATTCTCAATTACCTATTACTATTTATTTACACGAATACTATATTCTGCTGCAATGGAATTATGAAAATTGGCTTCTAATTTAGGAACTTACAACGATGTTGCTCTTTGGACATGGAAAGCTCCAGCCCCGACACTGCCGAAAAAACTGCAGAAATCGAGAAATTCTCAGTTACTAACCACTCAAATTTCCAGGTATAAACCAAAAACCCAAATTGTATCTTCCAGTACCGGAAATTGCGGGTGTGAGCACCCCATCTCCAATGACCATGCAAGTCCCAATCAAAGCCAGTACAAGCAACACCCTTTGCAATATTTTGTGTTTCTCTAAAGTTGTTTTCAAACTTGTTTCCAAGAAACTCTTATTATTTGATACTATCCCATCTTTCTTGTACTCTGATAATTCCTCATCTGCAAGTTGACAATTAGGCAAGGAACAAACCCTGGCATGCCTGCAGAGCAATGAATATAAGGCAAAAGTGCCACCTTCACCATTATCATCAGCTCTAAGCACAATAAAAACATATTTCACCAATGGTATCAATGTTAATGTCCAGAACACAAATGACAGAACCCCATATATCTCTTCATTAGTATCAGAATGTTGAATATCCTCAGCAAAAGCACTTTTGTATACATATAAAGGAGAAGTACTTAAATCTCCATAAACAACACCTAAACTTTGATAAGCCAAAGTTAACACAGTCTTCCATGATTCCTTCTGCAACAAAACAAACAAAAGAACAAAAAGCTGAGATTTTGAAGAGAGTAACTATAATAAAACTAGCTGCCACATGTCTTACCTTGATTGGACTCTTGGGGATCACACCTTCAAGATCCATCAGAGCCTGCCGCAGAATCACTCAAAATCCATTCTTTCAACAAGTAAACCAAAGATAAAGACTACCCAGTTCTTACAAGTTTAAGAAAAACACAGCAAAAGAAAGAAAGAAAGAAAAAACAAAAGGGTAAGCTTTTGTAAGAGAGTACACAGAAAGTAGGTGAAGAAACAGGCAATGTAGACAAGTCAAGAACAAACACGAAACACAAAGAAAATGAATATATATATATATATAGTGAGAATAGTATTGAAACAGGAAGGTGGTTGGATTTAGAGCTTAGAATAAAAGAATATCATGGGGTCTTAGTTTCAAAGACAGAAAACAAAGCAAGATGGATAGAGAGAGAGAGAGTGAGAAAGAGAAAGAAGTGGTAATTTTTTGAAGAGAGAAACTTGGGTTGTCTCTTTTAAGCTTTGTTTAGTACTTGAGATTCTAGATGGCATAAATTTTGTTAATGTTTAGTTTTTTTCATCTCCACTTTGTTGTCTTATACATATACGTGCTTGAGTGGGAAACTGAAGTGCCCTTGTAAACTGGGCATGCACTAACTGAAAATTGAATATTTTCTTTTTTATGAAACCTAACACTGCCACTCACAGAAACGTCTCTTTTTCGAAATTTTAAAGTGTTTTTCATTGTTTTCTGACACAGTCGATTAACTCCTAATTACTCCTCAGAAAAAAAGGGGGACCATCATATCGTGTGACTCAGGCGAGTTGGCTCAGGAATGTACCCTCCCTTTCTTTTCTGGTCAACAAATTTGGATCTCCCAAATATGAAGAGAAACTGATAATCAGTTTACTTTTTTGCTTGTAAAGTTTTGTTTTTGTCTAAACTTAGCCTTACTTTCCCTTCCAATAATGAAAATGAAGAGCTGATCTTGTCTGAGTAACCTATAAGAGATTCAGTAAACGCTAAACTTCCATACGTGGAATGTTATAAACCACGATTGTTAATGATGTGAGGAATCATTTTCTTTCAAAAGTCACATGATAAACCTGGCCTAAGCAGAGGACAATGTTAATAGCAGACTGGGAGGGGAAGATAATTCCAGAAGTATGGAGAAAGAAAGCGAAATCATATGAAAATGATTCATGAATGGGAGAAGTCGTGGTGCATATACATGTGCAAGTGGTCACACAATGAAAGGGTAACTGCCTAACCAAAAATATCAAGATGAAGCAAAGGCTTCTTGACTCTGTTTTACAACCTTTGAATACATTAACTGATAGGCCTATGGCCTATCAGTGGTTAAGTTCAGACCTTTGACAATTGATAACAATGAACTCTAAAAGTCTAGGATAAGCAATTTTTTCTGGTTTACAGTAGTTGGTTTTGAATGATATGGGAATAAAGGCTCGTATGACATAAAGAAAATTCTACCTGATCAAAAGGGTATGTCAGAATTAGCTTAACCACCTTTCAATTTTAGGAAAGAAGGTGGATTTAGTTTTGTAGAACTCAAATTTGTCGGCCATTTTGTGATGTATCTTTGATTTGTATTGTTCACAAATTTCAAGGGAAAAAATGAGTTCACTTTCTGATCTAGCTGTGGCAGTTGGACTAATTGTAGAAATCTTTGAAACAATCCATGAAATCTGCATCTAAGAATATAACAACACCAAACAATTCTTCCAGCATTAATGCAAGTAATGCTATACCTGTTGCTGTAGAATAAATCCTTCAGGAATCAGATGCCTTTAACCAGGGAAAGTTGTGAAATGCCACTAGTCAGCTCAGGGAAGATTGCCTGCATTATCCATGCTTTACTATTCTAACATTCAGGATTGAACTTTGAATCATTAGATCAAACAAAGCAGTAGGAATCATTTGAAACTTTGGCTCAGCATAAAATTTTAGCACATGCATGAGAATTTAAGAACACATAGAGTAACTTTTAGTTTTGTTGCAATGTACAACGCATTAGAGTCAAGGTTTTTGGCACATGAGAAGACTTTGTGTATAACAGACAGTGTATCAAAATTTTGGAAAAATATTTTGGTTGCATGGACCCCTTGCAACCCCACCTTTCCTACAAATTTGTTACTTTCTTGCCCCATAACGTGAGGATGGGGGGATGGACATGGACCCATGGAATAAAAACTGAAGCTTTTACCTAGAATCCTACCTATCTCAAACATGTGATCAATATTTTGTAATTTTCTCACCAACCAAACAGAAAAATCAAAGAAATTCGATCTGAGTTTGAGTTAACTCAAAAGGACTCAGCTCCGAGTGCTACACTTGACCTAATCTTGTACAATAATTTAATTAGCAAAAATGATTAGAAGAAAGATCAAAGATGCAGACAAGAAAATCTGCTTATGTCATTGCTTGCATTACTTTTTTTTAAAAAGAATAAAGGGGAAAATTAAGATAAAGATAGAAGAGAATGTGAGGGAAGTAACATCATTGGAATGTGGGGAAGAGAAAAAATAAGTGTCCATATGTAAAAACAAATGGTTCCAAAGGGCCCGTACGAACTGGTATTTGTCATGTCAATTTTTAGTGGGTGACCACTTTCCACTACTGGTTAATGTCTTGTACCCTACCCTCTGGCTCTTCTCGTTTGCTGTTTTGATTTTGATTTGAGTTTTTGGAATCTGAATTGGAGTTTTTGATGTAAAGTTGGATCCCATTACACTATTTAGATCATCATATCGTTTTTGTTATCATCATACAAATAAAGAAAACCGAGTCTTTGATGCCACTCTCTTTTGATTCCTTGGATGCTTTTGCAGAAGAGAAATTGAAAGGTAGGAGTGCTGGATATGACTTTGATAGCATTAGTTTGATGAACCATATTAATTTATTTGATGGAACGAATGGCCTGCTTGCACATAACCTCAAGTAAATATCAAGACAGGATATTCCCCCCAATGTCTCAAGGTTTGGGTCTTGGGACCAGTAAGCTTTTGGCCTAACAGGATCAGTTTCTCATCCAAATTAATGCAGAGTTGCTAGCAATACAGTCAGATGAGGTACATGAATTTTCTGGGCTCTTGACTAGATTGCTTATTCCATTACTGTTCAAGCTGCAGTAAAAATTACAAGGAGTTGAAAGTTGAAACATGTTGTAGAAACTAAATACTGGCGGTTAATATGGTTATTAACTGTCAAATGGACCCACTGAAACCTTTTTAGGGGCTGAAATTAGTGGTGCAAGATCATGCATTGGTGAAATAGATAGCACTTAGTAACGCACATAAGAGAAAAACACAAGATAAGGGATCTCCAAAAGAATCTTCCAAGAGTGCATAAGGTCAGGCCATTATCAGAATTATTATAATGATTAGTTGAGTGATGATAAAATAATAGAGTGAAAGTTTTCTATGCCGACGCCATGAAAGATCAAGCGAGTCCTCAGAATCCGGGTTTTATTCTGTTACTGCACACAGGCCAGCTAAAAATTTATGTATATGTGATGAACTGTGCATAATTTTATTATTTTAATTCTATGCTGTGAAGAGATCCAATGCTTTGAAATATCCTGTTGGCTGGCATCGCAGATTTAAAGTAGATTAAACAATACTAGTAATTAAGTCATAATTGTATTCTGTATAGTCGTACAGGGTTATTCCTCAGACAATAAACATGTGCCTAGGTGCTCAAGTTTTCAATTTTCCAATGTCTAATCACAGCGTGAAACACAACTTGTTTGGATGGAAATGATAAAGTCATGGGCAATACTGATTTATTACAGCTCACCAACAAGCTGATGAAGAGTCTGGTTCAGCTGGCCGGCATGACATTGAAAAAAAGGGTTTTTCCTTTTCCTGGTCAGAAGCTTGTATTCAGAAAGTTGTTGCAGGTACCATAAAAATAAAAAGAAGAAAAGGCTAAGTCTGAAGAGGGTTTCCCAAAAGCTTCAGTGGATTTAAGTTAAATTCAAGGTTTGTTGGCGCCTTGTACTTATTTCCTAGCTAGGTGCCATTTGGCAAAAAGGAATATACCTTGAATTCTTTAGTTAGAGTGTTTTTTTTTTTTTTCTGAGTCAGGCCAGATTAATTCCAGAACAGTCATAAGGAGCCCTGTTGAACATCTTTGATTCCTTGTCTTCCTATCATCTGAAAGCAACCCCAGCAGGTGGATGATTTCTAGCCAGCCACTTGCCACACTGTGGTCCTGCAATGCATGTGTGCCAGAGGACAATGAATACAAGACTAAGACAAATCAATAATCGTAAGAGCTTATCATTAAGCGTTAGGTTGTGTTTGAAGTTCGGAAGAATGAGATTGACAGAATGGTATCTGAAACTACACAAAATCACAGACAAGGTTGGTTTTGCCCCAGACAATTGCTTGTAGGATTTGAGAGTACGTTAAAGCTGGAGTTGACCATGCAATCCCACTCTTGCAGCTCACGTTACACGTCTCACCGTAATGCGGCAATTACTGTATTGTTGACACTGACTCTTACTGTAATCACAATAATAGGCAGCTAGACCAGCTCTACCACGGCCATCTGTTTTAAGCAGAATAATAGACTATGATTATTGCGGACATGGACATATCATATCGTTTCCAATTTCATAGTTCCACCCTCTCCATCTCCCAAGTTTCCTGGCTTGCTGGCCTCTTCAAAAGGCCCAAATTCAATATAGCAGGTTAGCTGACTTGCTGGCCTAGTGCCATGCAATCGGCCGAAAGGGTCCATGTCCAAAAAACCATACATAATCAAGATGAGCAGTCTGAAAAATAGGCCTGAACAATGACCCAACGAAGAAGACCTGTCACTCGTTACAAGAAGACCCGTCAAGGACGTCCGACTTAAGACCCGTCGAGTCTCTTCTTTTAAGTTCAACCAATTTATTGTATGCGCAGTAAAAGTCCAATTCATTGGCTCCAAGGGTCAATGCATTCAACTTTCAAGGAACAAGCTTATTCATATAGTCAACAATAACAAAACTAGAGACTAGCAGAATTGGGTGGGAATAATGATTAAACTGAATTGAATTTAATTTGGGTAAATTTGTTCAAAGAGTTTGATTTAATTTATTTATTTTGTTAATTTTTAATTTTAAAATTTTTGAATCAAATTAATATTATATATTATATTTTAAATTTATATATAGTGTATGAAACCCTTTTATATTAATTTGATGGTTTATGTGAAAAGATAATTTTTTTATGTTTAGATTATTTATATATTTCATAATTATAAATAAAGTTTATAAATTTCAATATTATAATTTATAAAAGATATAAGTAATAAAATTTTAATTTTGTTAATCTAAAATCAAATTAATCAAATTAATTCGATATTTAATCTATCCAATTCTCTTTTAAATTTGATCGAGCGTTATGAATTTTTTAAAATATTTTATCCATTGTATCAGACCAAATGGATTAATTGCTAACTCCTATGCTTACCTTTCCTTGCACCTTCCGCCAGGACGTGTACGAAGCCATGATAAGTCAACTCCTGCAAAGACTTGCAGCATTAAATACTTAATCCTGAGGCTATGGAATCTAGAAAGGAAGATGGAGAACTCATCAACAGTGATGAGAGAAAGACTAGAATTGTTTGAGATAATCAAAGACTCCTTTCAAATCGCCTTCAAGAATCCCAACTTCATTTTGTTTACCTTCCTCACTTCCCTCCCTCTCTTTTGCTTCCTGGTTTTGTATGAAATCATCCTTCAGTATGTCCTGATTGAAACAGGAAAAATTTTGCAGGAAGCAGCTGATCCTTTCCAAATTTTTGGTGATGATTACGAAAGACTAGTGGACATTGAAAACTTGTTAGGGAAAGTTTCTTCAAAGGCCCTTCTACTTGGTTTCTTATATCTGGGAATCATCCATATCCTAGACCTCTTCAACACTATTGCAACTGTGGATGTGGCATCAATAATCTATGCAGGGGAAACGTCCATCAGTCTCAAGGACATGTTATGCAGACCTGTGATGGAAACAAGGTTCAAAGGGCCTCTAATCACATCTATCTGCTCTCTCTGTTTAGCTTTTCTTATTTTACTTGGGCTGCTCTCCTTTGCAACATACATATACATCACATCAGCAGATGTTTTGTTCATGATGCTATTTGCGGTGCTCTTTATAGCTCTATTAGCAAAGTACATGGAGTGGAGTTCCATATGGAACATGGGGATTGTGATTTCAGTCCTGGAAGAGAAACAGGGGGATGTGGCGTTACTGGTCTCATCATATCTCAGTAGATGTAACAGGGCCTGTGGATTTTTCATAATGTTTGGGTTCTTCGCTTGGAGGCTTGCTCTACGATTCTCATGCCTTTATCAAGGATGGGACAATGGGGGAAGTACGATTATGATCACGGTAGGGCATATCGGCCTTGTTTGCTTGGCAAACTTGTTCAAGTGGGTGGCCATCGTGGTATACTTCTATGGTTGTAAGAAGCAAAGTTCCCATCAATATACTGATGAGGAGGAGGTAAAATTCAGGAAGGACTTGCAGGCCCAGCCTATCTAATAATTTCTTATGTACAAGTTTTGACATTTTAGTGAATAATGTACAATTGACATGTTTTTACATGGAATTATTCCCAGCAAAGCATGATCAAGAAATTTAAAATTCTAGTTTATTGCCTCTCTGTCCTCTTACATTCTCTCACTGTTACCTTTTTTTTGATCTGTGTTTGAAAAGTACGTACTTATAAGAAAACAATTGAGTTCAATCATACAACATATTTGTCCCTAATTGAGCAAAAATAAATCTATAATTGCCTAGAAATTTCATTTTTGGTACATAATTGCTTATACATTTGGCTGCAGAAAACTTTGTGCATTAAGCAGATCTACCTAAAAACTACTTCCAGACTGCCCTTTATCTTATCCTTAAACACCACATAAACATGAATTGCGGGGTGGTAGTTCAAGTGAGCTTGGGGCCAAGCATCTTCTCTGCAGATGATGGCAAACAGAATGCTGCAGAATGGATCTGGATCAAATTACAAAAGATTGTGAAGTTAACTAAAGCATATAGGTTGATTAGCAAAATAGTAATCACCTCAGCATTGGAAAAATTCAGGGGCCCTTTAACTTTATTATGATTGCCAATCACATCCACTCCAGTCACCGGGTGCCTGAAATCGACTACAGGGCCCTCAGAAGAGCAAAGCATAAAATCAATCACCCCACTGCAAGTTGATTGGCAAAACACAACCATCAAAATGAATATATTCCACCAATTTGACTATAGACACACATTTATCTTGGCCAATCTTAATAGAGGTCTGCACTTATGGATGCACAAGTCAAATCTTCAAAAGAAATCTATAGCATATACCTTGGATAGGTAGGCACAGTAGTCCATGCATATGTTGACAGAACCTTTAATTATTGGGCGACGTCCAATGATATGCATGTGAAGCCATAAACTCGCCGCCTGTGTGCAAACCACACCTCCTGGGCAAATGGCCTTTGCTACAAACTCAAAAAAGGCTTCTTGTAAAGTTCTTGTGCAGGTCTTGTATAAAAAGATGGATACACATGGTTTTGAAAGAAACAACAAATTTTAACTTGCATCAGAGCTAACGTAACAATTAATGGCAGAGGAAACTTACTAGTTGGATCAGAAGAATCAACTATAGTGGCATCATAAGTACCCCAGGGAGCAGCTTCTAAAAATTCAACTCCTGCAAGGTTTTGAAGGGGAAAAACCTTAAAATGAATACATTAAACAAATAGAAGACAAATAAGATCAAGGAAATAAGACTGCAGATGGTACCATCGGCAATATGGAGATTAACGTGTAAGTCCTCATATCGAACAGCTACATAGACCTTGGCAAAAGAGGGGGAAAAGTGAATGTCAGACAGCACAGATACCATCCTAATCTGACGCAGACACCCAGTTGCATTAAGTTGAAAAGCTTCTAATTTTCCCATCTGTTCAAAAGGTTGTTTCCCTTTTGCAATTTAACAATAATATGTCATTCTATGGTGATTTTTTGTCAATACATCAATCTAGAAAAAACTTGACAATCTCTTATGATTGAGGAAAAATGAAGACGATGAGCAATTTACATGCATCAACCACCATAGCATCTATTTCACATATATCTATTTGCTCAAAGGAAGAATGATGAGAGACACCTCAGGCAGGACGCCACCATCAACTCCACCAATGACCAACACCTGATGAAGAATATAATATCCAGGTTAACATTATCTGTTTAACAATAACAATGTAATGTGAGAAGTGAGATAATATTGAATTTATGAAAATTGAAATAAAACATTCTTTGAGTTCTCAATGGAGCAAAGTGGAGGGTGAGTGATCATTTCTTGAAATGCATACACTCATCCCTTTCAGTGACTTGAATAACGCCATCCAAGACAAGAACATTGCCATATGTAGCAGACTACTAGAAGAAATCTAAGTGCAAAACGACAACTGAAAGCATTAAAAGATTCAATTGCTCACTATTACAATCGATAAGATCGGGAATGAAGTGTGCAAAGAAGTTTTCTTATTTTCCCAGATGAATAAAACCTGAAATACTAGAACATCTTGATAGTCAGACTTGCCCTGAAATAGTATGTTCTCTAACTTCAAAGACTTCAAAGAATTAGCTTCCCCTGTCAAAAGTTCGATCATAATTCAAACTATCCTTTTGCCTTATCATGAACGAGCTAGCACATAAAAATCAAAACTTTTTTAACCCAACAAAGTTAAATAACTTCATTACCTAAAACAAACTCAACAAGCAATTAAAAAAAGTAAAAATTGCATCTTTGAAAACCCAGTAATCCTGGAAATTTGATGAAAAAGAGAAACTTTACCAGGCCACGATGAGCTAATTTCAGAGAACCGAGCAGGAATAACAGAGAACATGCCTGAAACCATCGGATTGTTAAAGACTGCACACTTTTGATACTCAAAGGAGCAACCAGCTGCAAATTTGGGTTTAGGAACAGAATTTAGAGAAATAAAACTTGAAACCCAATTGAGTTTAATGGGAATTTAATTGGTTTTAAACCTTTTCAACATAGATGGTAAGGAACCTAACACGGGGTGGGAAGTTGAGTAAGCTAAAGAATCTGTTAACTCTTGCGTGTCACTTAGTTATATATGTGAAAAATGAATGAGAGAAATAGAAGCAAACAATTAGAAAAGCATATTTAGACGTTTACCCTTGTAGCTCACAAATTCCAACCTTCCCATTGACCCTTGTAGCTCTACCGCCCGCAAATAGTTACCTCCGAGCTCCATGCACTTTCTTTGGTTTCCCGCAGATCTCTCCTCTCTTCCTTAACCAGTTTCTCTTTCCACCACCCACTATCTCTCTCCTTCCTCTCTCTCTCTCTCTCTCTCTCTCTCTCAAACAGCTTTCCTTCGCATTCTTCCTCCTTGTCATCGCCGTCGCCGCCACTTTTTTTCTTCTTCTTTTCTTTCATTTTTTATTTATTAACACATTTGATATTTTGGGTTACGTTGTGTATCTTTTAATCCTTCCTCTTTTTCCATCATTTCTCTTTCGCCGCGGAATCCGTGTAACATCGGAATCCGCAATGGAAGATGAATAGCATAATCCCTTCCTTCCGCTACTTACCTTCCTCCTCCCCTCCTCCTCGACCACCTTCCACCGCCAACGCTCCTACCGACTTCTTCCTCCTATGGCGCTACCAAATCCTCGACCCGGACAGCGACATTGTTTCCTACTGGAACCATGTGTTCTTGGTCATTTGCATTATGTCACTCTTCATAGACCCTCTCTACTTCTTCCTCCCTTACGTTGGAGGCCCTGCATGCTTGAGAACCGACGCCAGCATGGGGGTCATCATCACGGTTTTTAGGTCTATGGCTGATCTTTTATACCTTTTAAACATGCTAATGAAGTTTAGGACTGCATTCGTCGCACCGAATTCTAGGGTTTTCGGAAGGGGTGAGCTTGTTATGGATGCGAGGGAGATTGCCATGCGCTACTTGAAGTCGGATTTCGTCATTGATCTTGCAGCTACCCTACCACTTCCTCAGGTTATTGTTTAAAACGATTGCGTCAAATAATGGGATTTTTTATACAGTTAGGAAGAACTCATTTGAAAATTTTGCTTCATAAGGTACCAACAATACTAATTAGATATGCCTATATATGTTTGTTTCCACATTCTTGTTATTTGATGTTCAAGAGTAGTTTTAAATATATTCTTCTTGAATAATCCTAAATGGTCTTAATTGTTTTGTATGCTTAATTTGGGATACAATGAGAAGCTTTTTATAGTCTTCAATGTTATTTGTTCTTCTTGGGGCTAAGTTTTTGCAACGTTTCACCATGCAGTTTGTCATCTGGATAGTTATTCCAACCACACGAAACTCCAGAGCTGATCATGCCAACAACACCGTGGCTCTTATTGTTCTCCTTCAGTATATTCCGAGGCTGTTTCAAATTTTCCCTCTTAACCAAAAGATCATTAAAAGTACTGGGGTTGTTGCTAGGACTGCTTGGGCAGGAGCTGCGTACAATCTCCTTCTATATGTACTTGCCAGTCATGTACGCATCCAGTAACTGCTTTGCTTGTAATTTTACTCCCCATATAATTGTAATATTTCATTACATTCAACTGGTTTCTGACTGTTGGTGTAGGTATTAGGTGCAATATGGTATTTGTGTTCCATCACAAGGCAGTTTTCCTGCTGGAAGATGGAGTGTGCAAGAGAGAATGCCTCTAAACTTCTTGCTTGCGTCCCAAGTTTCCTAGATTGTAATAGTTTGACAAAACCGGAGAGGCAATATTGGGTGAACGTCACTAATGTGCTTCATAACTGTGACGCAACGAACAGCCTTGTTGATTTCAAATTTGGAATGTTCGCAGATGCTTTTACTACTAATGTTGCTTCCAAGAACTTTATTGTAAAGTATCTGTATTGTCTTTGGTGGGGTTTAAGAAATTTAAGGTATGACCTCAAATTTTGGATATTCAGATGGATCATGTCCCTCGCCCCAATCTGTATAGCATAAACTGATTTTTGGCTAGGTCTGATCTCTGGCAGAACTGCCCTGCCATTGTATGTCATTTACCTTCTTTGTCATTCATATCTCTGTCTGATAATCCAATGGAACATTTAAGCAATACCCTGGTGTGTAAGATAGGATTCACTAGTGTTACAGAAAATTGAAAGAGGCTAGAAATCAAAATGTGCTTTTTGAATTGATGTTTTAATCGGACATGTTTTACTAAATGAAGATGTGTATTATGCATTAATAGTTTCTTTCAACTTTATGCTTATATATCCAACCTGTTTTCTTTGCAGTTCATATGGGCAGAATTTGGAGACAAGCATATATATCTGGGAGAATCTGTTTTGCATTGTAATATGTATTCTTGGATTGATTCTGTTCGCACTGTTGATTGGCAACATGCAGGTAAATATACTACCACCTTCACTATTTTCTCACTCTTGTAATTTTAACCCATATTAGATTAACATTTCAAATTACTTGAATAAGGATGGTAACCGTGCAAAACAGTAATGAATAACTGATGCTGAGGTTTTCTTTTCTTTTTCCTTGAAGACTTCTTTGCAATCAATGACAGTCAGAATTGAGGAGTGGAGGGTTAAACGAAGGGATACTGAGGAGTGGATGAGGCACCGTCAGTTACCTGAGAATTTGCAGGAACGTGTTCGCCGGTTTGTTCAATACAAATGGCTTGCTACAAGAGGAGTTGATGAAGAATCTATATTGCAATCATTACCCTTGGATCTCCGTCGTGAAATTCAGCGCCATTTATGTATTTCACTTGTTCGCCGTGTATGTCTATCTTGGTACCTTCTCTTGTTATTTATCGTTGGCGCATTCATTTCTGCTATAAATAAAAGAAACCAATTAGTCCAGGAAGCCACATGATCCTTTCTATATACTTGTTGGCCACCATTTTATTGGAAGAGGAAGCATTTTACTTCTAAAAGGAACTTGTTTCATAGTTTTAAGCACTTGGTTAATTAGGTTGATTTTTCTTTGGTCTTGGTTCTCTTCTATGTTTAAACATTTTATACTCTAAACCCTTCAATTAATGTTGTCATTTTAGTTTATGTTTGATGCTGACTGTATTCTCCCTTTCTTGGTATTGTAATCTGTCTAACATTATGCAACTTTTGGTAAGAATTAGCTGGTTAGTTTAGGCTGGAGAAAGTAATTGATTTCTACCCCTGGAATCACTTGTTTCTTGAACAACTTTTTATTTCATTGGCCAGGTTCCATTCTTCTCACAAGTGGATGACCAATTTCTTGATGCCATATGCGAGCGTCTTGTATCATCTTTGAGTACTGAAGGCACTTACATTGTTCGAGAGGGCGATCTGGTCAATGAGATGCTATTCATCATTAGAGGGCAACTTGAGAGCTCCACAACCAATGGAGGAAGATCAGGGTTCTTCAACTCCATCACACTTAGACCTGGTGACTTCTGTGGAGAGGAACTGCTGACATGGGCCTTGATGCCAAACTCTAGTAGTCTGCCCTCTTCAACTAGGACCGTCAGAGCCCTTTCTGAAGTTGAAGCTTTTGCACTCCAAGCTGATGACCTACAATTTTTCGCACATCAGTTCAAGAGGCTTCAAAGTAAGAAGCTCCAGCATACTTTCAGGTACTATTCTCACCAGTGGAGGACATGGGGTGCATGCTTCATACAGGCTGCTTGGAGAAGGTTTAAAAAGAGAAAAATGGCAAAGGAGTTGATTACCAGAGAGAGAAGCTTCTACTACAGGTCATTATCTGACCAAGAGTGTTACTATATTGATGACATAGAAGATGAGGATGAGAACATTGAGAGAACATCCACAGATAGCCCAAATAATGTTCAGCATCTTGGAGCCACAATTTTGGCATCAAAATTTGCTGCAAATACTAGAAAAGGGTCTAACGATAGAAAGGTTGCTGTGATTGATTCGTCTTCGAACAGTTTAAAGATGCCCAAGTTGTTTAAACCTGATGAGCCTGATTTCTCTGTAGACCATGAGGATGGTTAGATAGAGCAAGAAAACTAGTTAGAAAATGTTCATAACATGGCTTGTGTAAATCTTACTGGTAGAATAGCATTTAAAATCACATTCTTAACTCTTTAGTGTTGATTTATTCACTCACAACCTCAATCCTATAAAATTAAATGAGGTGTTTCTGAACTCTACAGCCAAATTAAACAAGAATTACAACCACATTTACAAAATCCTATAACTTGTTGATCATGTTCTGATATCTAGAGCTAGATTATGTGTTGGCTGTTAGCTGTATAACTTGAAATTCAATCAGCTAAAACCTGTTGACTTGAGACCAACCTCAAAGAGCTCGACTGGTTCAGTGCTTATCTAGCTGAGTAATGTTGTTGCTGTCTAAGGAGACCGTTTAAAAGAAAGAAGAAAGCCATGCAACAGACACGTGATTAAATTAGTATATTAATTAATTTTATACTTTTCTTTATTAATATTAAAATCTTTATTAAAGTAAACTTTCTTTCATTAAAATTAACTAAACATTATGCCAGAAATGTACCATATGTAGGCAAGGGCGGTGTCATTGGCGATAGGCGAAAAGGTGAAACTGAATGCTGCTGTTGGTAATGCAACTGCAAGTGTTGTCAGGTTCCAAGTTTAAAGACAACCTTGACTGATTCGATGGACCAAGTTCAAAGACAATATCTTGACTAATTAGATGGATTATTAGACTATTCATATCTAACATCAACTAATTGATCAAAAGATTTATCCAGTTTTTATATTTTTTAATATTATTTAATTTAATTTTTATACTTAAAATCGAAACAAATTAATCTCTTAATTTTGAAAATTATGTCAAGTTAATCATTTTCTCCTAACAACATCTAATTTTGACATCATCGATGACGTTAAAGTCGACATATCACATTTTGATAGCGAGGCGTGCCACCTAACACCCAGTGATGATGTGATAATATCACGTAACAATATATGTGGGCGTGACAGTACTGACATCGCATTGACATGCTGACATGTCAGTGTCAGATGACAAATCAAAATTTTTTTTAAAAAAACAATCTACCACATCATAACAACTAAATTGAACAAAAATATATAATACAGAGATTAAATTGAACAAAATTACTATATTGAGGGACTAAGTTAAAAAAATATTTAAAAATATAAATATTTAATTATATAATTGATATATTTATTAATAAGTCAAATATTTAAGTGTAAAAGATTTATGGTGTTAAAAAAGATATATAAATATTTTTTTATTTGATTATTTGATTCTATAATATGTAAATTAATTTATCTTTTTTACAAAAATTAAGTTTAAATTCTCCTTCTATAAAAAATAATTTGAAAAAATTTCATATTTAAGTCAAATTTAGATGAATAACTTGTATTATGTTAAAATAAAATAATATTAAATGACTAAATATGTTGATCTAGTTACAACTTTCACAATTTACAAATACACATTCTTTTCAAATTATTCAACTCTTACTCAATTTACTTTTTATTTAAATTTACTCAAATTAGAAAAATATATTGATATAATTACAATTTTCACAATTACTAATACACATTCTTTTGAAATTATTCAACTCTTACCCAATTTACCTTTTATTTAAATTTACTCAAAATTTTTTATGAAACGATTTTACTTAAATTCAAATACCACAATCAAATTCTACTAAATTTAAATTTAAATTATTAATTTGGATCTACAAAAAATTTATTAATAAAACAAAATGGTACAAATATTTACAATTATATTTTTCAACAATAAATGTAGTCTTTAATCTAGAAAATTTCAACTTAAAAAATATAACTTGAAATATTAAACAAATAAAAACATAATAAATAAATAAATAAATGGAAAGGTAAAGCTCATATTCTATGGTTATAATAAGACGTTTGTCATGTCTAAATTAAGTAAGTCAGAATGAGAAATTATTTTTATAATCATCACTAACTTCATATCTCTATTTTTTACTTTTTTAAAAGAAAAATCAATATATTTCGCTAATTTTGACTTTAGCTCAAGTTAAAACTAAGTTAAATATATTTCAAATTTTTATACTATTATAAATAAAAGAAAAAAAATTTATTTAATCATTTTATATTATTTTATTTTAATGTAATATAAGTTATTCATCTAAATTTGATTTCAGGTATGAAACTTTTTCAAAATTTTTTTTATAGGAGGAAAATTTAAACTTAATTTTTATAAAAAGATAAATTAATTTATATATTCTAAAATCAAATAATTAAGTAAGAAAATATTTAAATATATATTTTTTAACATCATAAATCTTTTACACTTAAATATTTAACTTATTAATAAGTATATCAATAATCTACTCAAAGATTTATACTTTTTAAATATTTTTTTAAATTGAGTTCCTCAACATCTCAATTTTATTTAATTTAGTTTTTGTACTATATACTTTTGTTCAATTTAATACTTATGACATAGTAGAATTTTTTTAAAAAAAAAATTTTTATTTGTCACAGCACTACCAAGTCATAGTATAGTGCTACATGGTATTGTCAAGCCATCACTCAATGCCACATAGCATGCCACATCATCATTTCAACGTCACGTCATCAAAATATGGCATATCAATACTGAAATCACTCTTACGTCAACATTGACGTCATCTTTTAAAAGTAAAATTGGATGCCATTAAAAGAAAAGATTAAATTGATGTAATTTTTAAAATTAAAAGACTAAATTATTTTGATTTCGAATTGAAAGATTAAATTGAATAAAATTAAAAAATATAGAGATTATATAGATCTTTTAATCTCAACTAATTAAACTCACAACTCACAAGTATGCCTTGTATATGTATAATATCTAACCGAAAAAAAAAAAAGAATAATAATATCTTACATCTATGATTGTGTCATTGACAATTTTTTTTTTTTAAGTTTGGCTTTGTTCATTAGAGATTTAAGATAGAGTAGGAAACTATTTCATCTTTTCCCTATTTGGGACTTTTTATCCAAAGCATACAAGTTGTTTGTCTGGCCTGTAATGGACGAACAGGGTCACTATTTCCATTTTCCCTCTTGGTGCATGAATCTATACAAATACGATTATTAGATGAAAAGCTGGCAATGATTTCAATCATGGAAACCCAAAATTACCAACGACTTTTACATTTTCCAACTTTATATTCTAATTTTGGGATCCTGCAAACATGACAAAAAGTGGAATCTATTGCCCATATATGTAGAGCATATAGAGTATGCAGATTTTCTGGTTTTTGGAAAAAAGCAGAGTGCAATACGTCACATTCTTACCAGATCAAAGTTGGAAGTTTGCTCCGCTTAACAAATCAACCAGTCCCAATTCCCAACAAGATCATCCACTAGCATTTATTAATAGACAAGGTGAAAAAATTCCAACGCTGCAACAGTAAATTTCTATTTAGGCGGCTCACTGTAACTTATATTTTGTTCTCAACTTGATATGGGAAACAAGGAAAATTCTACCAACTATGTCTGTGATAAGGATTGGATTGCCTGACTCTTGTATAAGCAATAATGACGTGTTTAGGCAAGTTGCCTTTATCAATGTTATTCCTTCATTTAGACTGCAGGTAACTCAATAAATAGGTGATGATTGGCCTTTGAGCTTTTTCATTTTCCTTGCTCTTTTATTCGCATGGAAATCGACTGTTTCCTTTTTTATTTGGATGATTGCCTTATTTCTATGACAAAGCAGGTTGTCGGGACTCAAGTTGCTCTTGTGCATGGGATTAAATCTCGCAAATTAAGCAATAATGAATTTAAGGAAAGTGATTAATCCTTGAAAAAACAATGCAAGGAAGTCGAGTTGTCCTTATTCAGCTGTGTCTTTAGAGGCAAAGTACAGAAAAGTTTCACCGCTTGGCCAAGATATTGTAGCATGTCGAGAAGAGTCCAATTGAAAATGATTATAAGGAGACTAAATGAGCGAGCCTGTGTAAGCGATTGAGAAGAGAAGTAGAACTAACAACAGCAATATTTGCAAACTTGATGGCCGCTCGAAGGCTATCCTCTCTGATCTCTCTTTCTTCTTCTGCTACTGCTGCAACTTCTTTAGGTTCTTTTGGTAATATTGATCTCTCCCTACCTCTCTCTCTCTCTCTGGAGTGAATGCTTTAGTTTCTCTGGTGAACTTTTCCAAGCACGAAAGTCACTTCATGTTTCTTGGATAAAACATCTGAACTACTAACCTTGTATCTTGTTCCTTTTTCCTTCCTTCCCATGTTTCCCTTCCCCTATAGTGCCTGTGCTGTACGTGTAGTCTCAAAAATATAAATATGTTTATGTTTTGGTACCAGGTTCAATATTCATTCACGGACTTTCTTTTTTTTTGTTTTTTGTGTGTAGTTTAATGGTTGTTTAGATAATTGTTTGCTGAACGCCATAAATCTTTATTACACTGTAACAAGCAGCATGCTATATGGATTTAATGAGTGAAAAAGTAAAAACTGTCTTGATCCTGTCATATTGCTTGAGGAAACTGAATCTTTTGACTACCAAAAAGAAATCAATCAATGATATCATGTAGGGCGATTTTCTAGATGGGGAAGAGGAATTAATAGCTTCAGTACCCCTGCTGCAATTGATGAACCTATCAGTCCATCTATTCAGATAGATCATACTGAGCTCCTCATCAATGGACAATTTGTTGATGCTGCATCAGGTTAGCCTCTCATTGTTTGATAGTGTTTTTTCGTTTATATGTATACCAACAAGTTATAGTATAACATTATGTATGATCATTGAATAAGAAGTAAATATATATGCAATGGAACTAATCCATGAATATTTTCTGGCTCAGGGAAAACCTTCCCTACCCTTGATCCTAGGACAGGAGATGTGATTGCCCATGTTGCAGAAGGTGATGCTGAAGATGTCAATCGTGCAGTTGCTGCAGCTCGCAAAGCATTTGACGAAGGGCCATGGCCTAAACTAACTGCTTATGTAACATCTGCTTTGCTTTCACATCCTTCCTTTTGTCTATAGCCGCATTGTTTACTTCGTTCATTGTGCTCTGCAAAACATAGTTAAAGACAACGCTGAATGTTAAGGTGTATGAGAATTTTACCTGACTCCTACTGTGAATATGAATAGGAAAGA